TTCGTAACAGCCTAGGACCATAAAGGTATGGAACTATAATCACTGTGAAAATAAGATAAGCTGAAATTCGACAGCAACCGTGGGCGCATTTAACATAGGGCTGGACTGTGGATGGCGAGCATATACAATCGTTAGAAGTCCTTTAGTCTTGCGATAATGGATATATATAATAGCTATCTTTATAGCTAAAGCCTGGGGGCCAGAGCAAAAGGAAGTCGTAGATCAAAATAACGATATGGATAGTCGGGGCATGGGAAGACAAATCACAGTGTCTCTTGCCTAGCCATGTGAACGGGATGGCAGGGGAGACACTGGCGTGACCGGGGCACTATGTCCTGGGGTTGGGATTTCTATTTCGATGCTCGGAACTGTACTAACGGGAGGAAATCGGGGTTCTAACCCTCTTTCAAAAGTCGGGCTCCGATATGCTGGAGCATCACCCCAGTCCAACTGATCGTAGTGTGGCGGTTGATGGATATTCGAGTCCCCAATATCAGCCTCAGCCAGAGTGATGGATCCTCTAGGAGTATCGTTGTCCGATTGGCTAGTCGCATTCGAAAAAAAAGACGAGCCCGATGTTGCGCGCGGACGCGATCCGGATAAGCTGGATAAGGAGGAATTGCCATCAAGGAGCGGTCGAGAATCCGATTCTTGAGAGCTTGCACGTAATCGGGTGCCATCATGTCGAACGTGGCCCACTTCCGCATATGCAACGCTCGTAACTCGCTTCTCCCTTCCACGGGACTGGTGTTCAGCAATCAGTGCCGCTGCGCTTGGAGCGGCACTACTCTGGCTCGCATTTCGGTGTCGCGCTCGACTCTCACGCCGTAGCTCCTCTAATCGCTCCCAATCGCCGCGTTCTCGAGCATCGCGCCGTTCTTGCCTTCGTCGCTCCCGCTCTGCGATTTCTTGTCTTCGCGCCAGCCGAATTTGGTACAATGATTCCATCTGCTCCTCCCTCCGCGACTCTTCCTCTTCTGCTGTTTCAGGAAACTCGACTACAACATCCATACCAGCTCGCTCACCTTCCCTCCCAATGACTTGCTCAGTCGGTTTCGGGACTGGGGAGTATGTGGGCAACGTCATAACTGATCGAATAGAGGTGTTACGATCCACCCCGTCGTCACCGGCTCCCCTGTAAGACGTATTCTGTGATCGGTTGGCACGAGCCTGTTGAGTAGCTGGGACGGCATCCGGGACGGCATCCGGGACCTGGCCATATGCTGTCTTTGGCAACCAATTTCGCCATTTGTTCTTGAGGTATTCCGTAGGGATGTATCTAGGCTCCGCGTTGCTGTAACGGAGGGCTCGGAGAAAGTAGAAGATACAGAGCACGACGATGATAAAAGCGAGGAAGGCAATGGCAACCTGAAGAGGGAAATTGTCAGCCAAACGGGTAACGACTTCCACGAACTAACAGAACTGAAAAACCTCACAATTATGGGGATCTTTGCCGAGGTGCTATCCTTTATGTTATTATTGTTGGAGCGCCTTTCGAGATAGTTGCTATGGCGCTGAAGCGTAGGGAGAAACATGGTGACAAAAAATATCGGCCTGGCTGGTTCAAACGCAGGAATCAATCTCTTCACAGCAAGAACATGGCACGACCAGAACAAGTCAAAACAGAAAAGAGAGGAAAGGAGGAGATGTCAGCGAGGTCGTTCCCAGGACGATGGAAAATTGACAATCAAACTTCTTCATGTGGACAGGCTGGATCGGCAGCGACGAGGTCCCCTAGCAGCTAGTGGCTGAGGCTGACTGAACTGGAAGGTGAGCGAGCCGCGTAAGGAATAATCCTTGGTGTATAAGCCAGAGACATGGAGGAGGGTTATATGGTTACTGAAGGGACAAGGAAAGGAAAGGATAAAACACCAGAGAGAGCGAACGATAGGAAGCGGAAACAGTGAAACACCAATTAACATCGTCGATCCGGTTGGTTGGGAGCTGAAGAACTGTGGGCGATGTTGGACTGTTGCTGTTCCGCAACCAGGTTTGGCGGCAGAGCCAGGGCTGAACAGCGCCAATAAATACATACTCCCCAATATGAGGATAGACCACCCGCCAACATCTCCACGGCCACCGCTGTCACCCAGGCCTGTCATGCCTTGGGAGGCAGTACGGCCAGCCTTCCGGGGCCAGACTATCATTGCCCAACCCAGTCAGTATTCGGCCGAACCAACATCCATAAACGATTCGGGATCAAATGTACGGATATGGAATCCCATCATGACGTTGTGCATCCCTCCTCCGTCACCTTGCTCTGCACACCCGCCATCCCGCAGGAGCTCAAGCAAAGTTACGCAGTGATGCTGAGCCCGGCCTTTTTGCAGTTAAAGATATTTTTGGCCCTGGAAACTTTCTCGGCATAAATATGAGTAGAGGGCCGGGGTGGAACGTGGGTCCTTGCACACACCCGAAATTTCAAAATAGCGAAATCTCAGTGCTGCAACTTCAATGAATCCGTTATGGGGCCCCTGGTGCCTAACTTGGCAGCTAAGCTTCAGGCATCCAGCCTCTAAGCTTGCCCCAATTGTTGGCATATAAACAACCCCTAGCACATACGCTTTCTATACTAGTTACCCCTTGCACCCCTTACATCGCGGACAAGACATACTCTGTGCGTGAGATGCAGGCCCCTCCCTGTCCCTGTTCCGACTCAATTACCCCCATCCAGGAAAAATCCCCGCGACGATACCATTCAAAACTCGGCGGGTGTTGTGTGAGTTGGTGTCCCCGACAAGCCGTCATGTGGGATGATGGTGTGCATGTACCCAATAATTTTCGTCGCGGTTCAATCCAATTACCAGATAGAGGATGCATATGATTATTCAAACTTTGGAAACACAGGGAGTGGGGCCAATCAAAAAAGAAAACGAAAGAAAGAAATAATAATATGCATGCATGCATTGATTGCGTCTTGGTGTATCCATCTACCCCGCGCGTTCTTTTGCGGGAGAACGAGTTCAACAAAGAAGACAAGCAAGCAGATTTACTTGACTGTTGCACACAGCAGGTAACGGTGGAAGAGACGTAGACCCTGTTGTTGTTTTATTTTACTTTATGAAGATGATACTGTGAATAGAAAATAAATAAGCCCCCAAACTAAAACACCGCTAGGATGTTGCATTGCGGACGGGCTATTCATCATTTCCACAATTCGGTCTTCCAGCGCGCGGGTGTACAGGGGGAAACGGTGGGCGCTTAAACGGCCGCATGGTGACAGGGCGAGAAGTGCGTGAAAGTCGTTTGGGATAGGTCTAGCTATGAGACTGAGAAAGGCGTAACAACATAATTTGATCAAGGGGCAAAGTATATATATATATATATATTTTAAAAAAATAAATAAATAAATAAATTAAATTAAATTAAACAATTATGTAAGTAAATAAATAAACAGGAGGGAGACTATTCGTGAATAGATGGCCCCCCTGTGTGGAGAGAATATGCATAGGAGAATTTGGGGGGCAGAGGGAGGGAAATGAAAAAAAAAAAAAAAACAAAAAACCTGGCCTTCGAAAAATCAAGTGTCTTACTGAGAATCATAACCATCCTTTCCTTCCAACATAACCAACCTCCTTAACTCTCCTCCCGCCTTCCCCATTAACTCTAAAAAGGGGCCTTCCTCAACAACACAACCCTTATCAACCACAACAACCCTATCCGCAATCTCCATCATCTCCACCGCATGCGTGATGATTATCACAGTCAGCAGCTGCCCGCCATTTCCCATCAACAAATCCTTAACTGTGCGACGAATCTGCTCTGCGCTGTGCACGTCAAGGTTCGAAGTGGCCTCGTCCAAAACGAGCATACGCGGTTTCCGCACGAGTGCACGCGCGATGACTACACGCTGCGCCTGGCCGCCGGATACGGACAAACCTCCGTCGCCAATTATCGTGTCGTAGCCTTCTGGGAGGGAAGTGATGAATTCATCGATCCCCGCAGCCCGCGCGGCAGAGCGGATGTTGTGGATCGTGTTGAGAGGGGATGAAGGGTCAAGTCCGTAGCTTATGTTGTCTTTGACCGAGGACGGGAAGAGGGTGGGCTGTTGGGGGACGATGGAGATTAGGGACCGTAGGGTAGGGGTGTGGATTTTCTGGATGTCATTGCCCCCGACGGATAACATACTGGCGCCACCGATTTGAGATGATGTTACCGGGTATAAAGCAGTGAGGAGGGAGGCTAGGGTCGACTTCCCGCAGCCGGAAGGACCAACAATTGCGATACAGGAGTTTTCCGTCAGTGTTAAGTTTAGGTTTCGAAGGACAAGCTTGTTGGGGCGGGATGGGTAGCTGAAATTCACGTTTGTGAATTTTAAGGGTGTTGGATGGGATATTTCCAGTTTGCCCTCATCCTCATGCGAAAATCCTTTTGGGAGTGTAGTTAAACGCAATACTCGACGTGCAGTGTCTCGAGATGAGCTGATTTGTGGCACTGAAAATCGGCGTTAGTATATCTGCTAGCAACTTAACTGATAGGACGGGCATACCAAATTCCAGCGCGGCATTAACGTTCGACAGGCTGAAGAGGAGGAGCGAAAAGACTGTGAGGATGTCCTTGGTCGAATATCCGAGCGAAGATGCAAGAACTGCTCCGTAATAAAACACTAACGCTATGTGTCTCATGTTAGTCCGGAAAATACATGCACAGGTTGAAAAAGCTGCCACTGAGCACATACTGTAAACAAAAATGATCGAGGAATTGGACAATCCAAAGAGAAAGCCTGAATAGCAGGCCTTCTTTAAGCCCAATCTAAGTGCCTTCACAACAACTCCATCTAACTTCCTGTGAAAATGAGACTCGAGTGTCAATGCGCGGACGGTTTTGATATTGAGGAAGGTTTCCGAAAATATATCTCCAACCACTTCACCAACATCATTGCACTTTTTCTCCCACTTACTGCTCACGCGCTCGAAGGCCCTCGTCATAGAATAAACAATTGGCACACATGCAAACCCGACCAGAGTTAATTTCCAGCACACCACAATTCCCCAAATAATACATATAACCATTATCACAGTCGCAACAAATATGAATCCTGCGAACCGTCCAACCAAATTTCTCATTTCCTCTGCGTTACGATCCAGACACATAGTCAAATTGGACGTTTTATTGTCTTCCTTCTCAAACCACTCCTTCGGCTGGGAGAGGATACGTCTCACAGCCTCATTCCTGAGGGAGTTAACCCAGATCTGTCCGCAGTATTCAAGGAGAAAATGCATCACGAACGACGCAACTCC